AGGGAAAACAGTCAGATGTATAATCAGATGTATATTGACAAACACGATTACAGAAGGATATGAAAACTTGATTGGATTACAGATCTTGTACCGTTCTCCTCATCCTGTCTCTCTCAATGGTATCCCACAATCGAAAAATTTAAAAAAAAACAAAAAAAAAGCAGGATGAGATGGAATGGCTAGGCAGCAATGAAGAAAAATCATGAGATTAAAACAAAAACTACTCACATGCATAAACTTCTAGAATGGAATCAGAAAGACAAAGGGTCTGGATGCCAAAACTAAAAATAAAACTACATATCAACACATCCTTTTTGCTGTTTAAATGCATAAAATAAGTTTTGCTAAACAAATTCAGATTTGTCACAATAGCTAAGCAGCTCATTTTTAAATAAGCATGCAAAGCTCAACTGTACACATGCAAATACTTTTCTTAGTGTGTCATTACAATTAAGTGTACAATATGATTATACACATAATTTTAAAATAAATTCATTGTAAAACTATGTTTAAATACTTCTATATACCATTCCTCATACTGTCATCACTCCAAGTTTTCTTAGTGAAACATACAAGCTCAGGAAAGGGCTTAGGTACATAAATTGGTCACAGGACAGTAGAATTGCACAACCACCTTCCAGTTTTGTTCTGCCTCTGAAGTATATTAGGAGATTGCACAGTTAAGATGCAAAGCCCTCCCGCAGCATTTAGAGCTGAAAAGGTCTTTACACATTCCATTAATGTTCTACATGATCTTCAACATTCATCTCATTCAGAAGATCAAATGAAATTATAGGTACAGACAAGCAGGCCAAATTAGATATATTTTGTTAAATGCTTACATTGCAAATGTACTTTTAAAAATAAGGATATGTTTGTATCATAAGCAAGAAGCAAAAGTAAAAGCTTTGGATAAAATCAACAGGGACTAAAATACCCTGACAGAAATTTTGTAACATCCTATTGGAAAGATTTTTTTCTTTGCATTCTATAACTTCCCAGTGAAAACATTCAAACAGCAATTAGGTATCACAACATTAACTTAACCATGTTTAGCAAACTGCAACTTCAGTGTATTTTTGAAAGAAAGTATTCTTCACCATCTTCACAAAGATAATTTTCCATGCTAGAAGGCAGTATGTTGTGGAAGATTATGTACAGGCTGGAGGGCAGAAATTCAGGAATTCAAATCCTCTTTGCGAGGTGGAGAGCCAGTCACATCCCAGTTCATTTCTGTGTTAGGTTTCCATTCTGCAGACAGATGTAATTACCCAACTCACCAACTACAAACTATAACTCTGTATAAAGGTCTTAACATGTGAAAACCCCTGCTCCACCAAAACCTTCCCCTTCAAGAAAGAGTAAATCTTGCTATGGTAGACACGTCTCATTTTTTGCATAGAATAACACAAAGTGCCTGTTATTTAAAAGCATGTATCTAAAGCATATATGAGGGAATTAACCTAATCTTAGATTGTATCTGTCTGCCTCTAAGACAATTTTCCTTTAAACTCAATGGACAGAAACCAGACTCAAAGAAGACCAATTCATCTCAGCCTAATAGATGAGATGGATAGTGCCACTGAAGTGCTTGTTTACTGCCTATAAAGGCAGACATAAAGACTAGCTGACCTGCAGGTACCCATATTGTAATAAAACGATGGCCCCTGCCTACAGAAACACATTACAAGCCTTAGTCCTACAGGCATTCATGTTTATGCATAACTTTACCACTGCAAGTTGTCCATTGATTTCTCACCTAGTAATATATTAACATCTTCAGAAATGCTTCTGAGAATATAGCACCTGACTAATATAACTAATGTGGGACAAAATAAAACATTCCCCCTTCCCTGAGTTCCAGAGCAATCAAGAAGGATCCATCTCAAACTTAGTCATGGCAATAACTGTTCTAAACAGGTGCTACACACCATGAACGCCAGAAACCAGTATTTTTCTCTTTTTTTTGATGGACCATATACACCTTAAATATTGCAAAGATAAGAACCCAAATAGAATAATTATCATAAATTCTGAAATGAGTAACAAGTGACCAGAAAGCTGTGAGCACTGTACTGAGGTTATCATACATCGCTGTCATCAGAGCTGCAACATTCTGACCCACTGAGCAAAATCTGGGAACCATTCCCAGGTCAGAGACTTCACCTTTATTGCACCTATATATTTACTATAATAAAGAGTGAGCAAAAATCACAGCTGAGGATGGAGTTCAACATAGATGGAAAAAAACACATTTAAATTCACAATATCAGAGTGTAATGATAAAAAATATTTATAAACAAAATTTAAGAAGCTGAAAACAGGACAAATTTAATATACATTATTTTAAGGTCAAGAAGAAAAAGCTTGACAAAGCATTAAAACAACTACCATTCCCTATATTTTTTAATATAGGTTATCTTTTTCTCTTGGTATCTACCTTACTTTAGGAACACAGAAAGTTGCTAATCCAATACTGCATTTTTTTTAATTCTGTGTTTGTTTGTTGTTGTTGGGTTTTTTTTTAATACAGGTGTATTCCAACTGAGAAAATGTATCAGTATTTTTGTAGGTTTTTAATCCTCTGTTAAGACTGCTACTGATGTAAAGTTAAGCTAATGTGATTTTCTTCAAAAGTATCAGGAACTAATTTTCTGGCTAGTTACCATATACACCACTCTACATTTTTAACTGTTGTCTGTAAACACAAGAATGTTGACAAGTTTTGACAGGGCAAAGCTACATCAAAGCCCTTTTTAACACCATTCAAAACTAGCAAGAATGGATGGCAGTACAGATTTTCAGACTGATTTTAATATTAGCATCCCTGTATTCTTATTTGGTAAACAAGTATGAGCTCTCTCAATAAAAACATGTCCTGCAGTAACATCTAAACTCAGGGAAAGGAGAGTATTCTGTTAACTACTGAAAACTGAGTTATATTAATGATTAATAACTGATCTATTTACAGCTTGCAGTATTTTTGTATTATTCAAAACCATTTTATTATCTAATTTAAAACCATGAATATTAAAGCCTTTTATGTTTATGGCTGATTTCTCTGAGCATCACATACTAATTCCAACAAACTTTAAAGCAGAACTGAGAAATCTAGGGCTCCTAGAGTGGAAAAGGGTCACAGGGAGGATGAAGCCCACAACTTCTTATGAAAGGACTTTCAAGGAAAAGATGCATACCTTTGTATTATTTATGCAAAAGGTCAAGGTAACTTGGAGCTTTTTAAAGCTATTTAATTGAAAATTTTATTGACAATGTATCAAGATGGAACAAATCCTAACGGTTAAAAAAATGCAACCTTTATGCATTAGAAATTTAAAGAAAAGGGGAGTATTTCCCTTTAAACCAGAAATGCTTAGTATCTGGCTTGCTGCCAATTAAGAATGTGAAGCAGGAGGCATTTCAACACCTACACAGCCTGTAATTTTCCAACTGTGGAAGATTTTTCTTCTATTTCTACCAAAGAAGCTGCACCATAGATTTTCTTTAAACATTAAAGACTTCAGGATTACAGTGAATTATTGCTAAATGCTCAGATTTAGACAGTTTTGTACTAATAAATATATTAAAATAAATGCTAAATCTTTTCTTCAAAGTCACAGTAAGCTCAATGTAATGAAGTGCTACTCCTTTATTAACAGTGCTAATTATAGAAGAACTCAACAGAGCCCTACACTTAGGAGCAATTTATCTCTGCCTCTTTTGTGCTACCAAAATCCACATAGATAACATCACTTAAATATAAAACTTCAAGACTCATCTTCTGAGTTTATCCTACAGGAGATCCTAGTGACTTCACAATGCCAGGAATCCTCAAATGGGGGAAAGCTCTCACGCTGGAGCGCTTCTGTTCTAACATTCACTGCAGCTGTGACACCGGCAGCTCACTGCCAGTCAGTGACACCAGAGTTGGTCTATCTACAAGGCTCACTGAAGAGCTCAAATGCAAGCGTACCAATAAGCCTCTCCCTGTAGGCCCCGGCATTTTTTACTTGTTTTCTCTACTCTCATAAAATGAAGTCTACATTATATTTGGGACTGCCTTGAGACTGGAAGAAATCCTCCTAGAAACCATTTACAAACACAGAAAGGACAAGAAAAGTGACTGGGAGTGGTCGGCCTGGATTTGTGAAGGGGAAATCAATATCCTCATAGATAAATTGATGAAGTACAAGCTAGATAAATGGAAAGTTATGTGGACTGAAAACTGGCTGAACAATCAAGCTTAAAGGGTTGTGATCAGTGGCAAGGCAGACAGCTGGAAGCCAGCCAGGAGTGGTTTACCTCAGGGCTCTGCAATGGGGGCAACACTGTCTAACATCTTCATTAATGACCTGGATTATGGGACAGAGCGCACCCTCAGCTTGTATGCAGATGACACAAAACCAAGAGGAGGGGTTGACAGACCAGATGGCTGTGCTGCCTCAGCAAGCTGAAGAAACAAACCAACAGGGATCCTAGGAAATTCAACAATGGAAAATGCAAGTCCTGCAGCTGTGGGGGAATAGCCCCATGTACCAATAGAGGCTGGGCACCAGCCAGCTGGAAAGT